CATTAATCGTTCATTTTCCAATATGAAATGCCAAGGCGGATTGTGCACGAAAGTTTTCGAAAGACTAATGTGAGACGGAACTTTCATTATCGACTACGATGGCTGGACGGAGAAAGTTCCGGATTCGAATCCCGGTATGACGAATTTAGGACGAACTTGATCTAAACGGTTCTGGGCCAGGTTCTTGAAACAACTGGGGCGTTACCATGAGCTCTAATTACAGTTCAGTATAGGTTCGTAACGAGAAAAAAGTGTGATGGTGATATACACTTCATGTAGCGTCACTTAATTTGTTATAAATTTTTATTATCATTTGGGTTCGAACTGTGTAGTTTTAATTTTGACCCGGTCAGTGAAGCTAAATTATTCTTAAATCTTGTCTCAAACCGTCGCGTTTGGTCTTTTAATTTTGTATAAAACTGAGGATATTTTCTTACAAATTTTAAAAATGTTGTGTTGAAGTTGTAGTTAAAATTCCAAGTTTTTTTAAATGCGGTTGGTAACTTTCCGTACTCTTGATATTGGCAAGTATCCGTATACACTTTTTTGTAGGACAAATATATCATTAATGTCAGTACTGTTTTCCCACAGTATACGTATACGAGGTATACGAGGATAGGCATAGTAAGCGGCAAGTGCAACTTTCATATTTGTGGTTCTTTTAATTTCTCTCATAGCATATACGAATTTTGATAGACTTGTGTATTTGTGGTTGTCGTGTGTTGGTGTGTGTGTCCATGGCACCCGCGACACAGGGTTTCCCTAGTGCGGGTCTATGAGTGTGTTGCGTTATTATTGTTATTATTATTCTGCTAAAATCTACTTCCAGTGGCAGTTGAGTCTCAATGGAGTATCAGTGGAATGGCACTAATGGCATTCATTCATTTATCACTAATGATCTATGTTGCCTAACTAAACCCATCATGGAAATTATTATGCACATCTCAATTTTTATATTACATTCCGAGTTAAACATTCGATTCGGATTCGGATACGATATCGTTATCCAACAGCGTTTAAAGAGTTAGTCGGTGAAATAATAATAATAATAACGCACACACTCAACATAGCCCCGCACTAGGGAAACCCTGTGTCGCGGGTGCCATGGACACACACATAGACAAACACAAATTACACCCAAACTCACGAGAGAAATAAATATAGGTCATACAAATATTTCGCCCGGCCCGGGAATCGAACCTGGGACCTCTGCGTGGCAGTCCGGCATGGTAACCGTTCGGCCACAGAGGCAGTTAAATAAATAATTATAAGAAAAATGAAAATCCTTTTATATACATTCTTAAAACTTTAAAGGCTGAAAATATAGGAAAGCATCAGTCTTGCTTTAAAATAAACTAATAAAATTGAACAAAATCCAGACTTTATTTAAAATTATAAGAGATTTCCATATTATATTCTTGCTTTGTAAACAATAGGACGTTCGGTAACTTTCATTCGATAATTGTGTTCTCATAATGTTTGTAGCCACAGACATATACCTCGATAGACGCCGCGAGTACAGCAATTTGTATGAAAACCAAGCGTGCCACAGTTTTTGTACCCACTATGACGTCACAAGAGCTGTTTAGTAATGGAAACCTCCTTCTGCTCGCTTTAAGTCGATTGATTGAACGGAACACGCGTAAACACGCGTATTCCATTCAATTAACCGATTTTAAATATAATAATTTTTGTTCAATTATTTATTGATTACAAGTAGTCGTAATAATAATATAGTAGAAAAATACTAGAATAAGATAGTTAAGTCTTTTATTTTACTTGTTTTTAATAAATGTTGATTACTTAAAAAAATAAGACTTTAATTTTTAATCGACTTCAAATATGGAAATTATTGTGTTTCTAATAAAATGAGCTTATTATATAACATCTTTTTGTAATAGAAGATGTTGTCGATTAACTTAAATAATGTATACGCATGTCAATAGATGAACTTGTGACTGCCTTAATTAATTTTACTAAATGGTTATCTGTTGATAATTGTTCAAATTAATGAATGGCAAGACAAATAAAAATGTTCAAAAAATCAAAATATGGTAAAATCTTATTCATCAGAGGAGGTTTACTTAATGACGGCCTCGTGTGAAATTTTTGTGATTTGTTCACTATTTCTCGGATTTCTAACTCGGTATATTTGGATAGCATCTTAGGTGGAATAAACTAGACCACCTTCGTCCTCGAAAGCAACGAACTCATACATGTGACCAACTCCAGACCAACTACGGATAATAGATACTACAAAACTGAAAACAAAAAACGAAACGTTACTAAACGTTACAACAAAAGAGTTAAAGAATATTTTTATAATAGTCTAGGTCACAATAATTTTCATCCCTTTGTTTTCAAAATCGATCAGAATCGAGAAGTGTTGCCTAATGTATATATCACTAAATATTAAATTTGGTCAAAGAAATGTACAAGCAGCTGTACCACGAAACTGAATGCATTATACAAAAGTGCGTTCGTTCGAAATTCATGGCGTGTTAAAAAAGGATCACAAATATATCGCACCAAGTAAAAGCCGCAATGTATTACAAAACCTGAGGCATACACTCGGTTGCATATTTGTTTTCTAGAAATTCATACAAAACCAAAATAATTGTTTTTACAATAAATTATGCATCTTCTGATTACAAAATCACTTGCCCGTGGAAGGAAACGTCCCTGTTTACCCGTTTACCCACAGTTATGGTGCTTTTGCAGTCTATAATGGCACAATTATGCATTTTTCGCGTTTTCGACTGGTGTTTATATACGATAACGGCTGAGCCTGTTCTGAAGTATGGCAGCGGCAAATAAGTGAATTTCACTTACTTTGGGCACGCGATGTACGTACACTTGCGGCGTCTAACTAGTTATATGTCTGTGTTTGTAGCTTTTGCCAGTCGAGAAGTTCGAATAATCGTTCGGGTGTGACGTCATTTCGGTTCGGTTTCGAATACGACAGTTTGACGTTCGATTCGGGTGTTGTGAATAAAAATGAAAAGAAATCTGTTGACAACTGAGTTATCGTAAGGTTCTAAATTGACCCCCAGGTATATTGGTGTGCTTGCTTGGAACATAATAATTTTTATTATTGTTTATCTATAACACAATCATTAGCTTTGTGGGTAATTTGGAATGTATAATGGAATGTTTCTTCAAAGACTTTAATTAAAGTAGTGAAACGCAAAAGATGCGAGACTGATAGCTCATCTGTTTGAATAATATAAATGGATTTACTCAATGGAGATGAGTAATTGTGTCCTTTTAAAGCTTTGTTTTTATTACATTTATGCATTTACTTGTACATTTAGATCACTACTTCTACAAATTTGATTTGCCCGTGTAAAGAAAGTTGTGTCGTTAATTTAGTGAATGTATTTATTTGTCAAGTACAATAATGTTACGTTTTAATGGGTGATTCTCGGGTTAATGTTCAGTGCCTAATTTTCGTAGCAATTTTCATTATTTATCCCGTTCATGGACAGTAACGCCGTTTACTGTAAAATTAAATATCGGAATATGATAGTACGGGGCATCCCGATTCACTACATGGATTTCAAAAAACCAATTACGGGCTTTACGGTGCGATTTGCAAGTGGGTTAGAATAGAATAGAAAACGTTTATTTGCCAGAATACACTATTTATACAGATCTTGAGTAAAATTAGGTACTTGCACGCAGGTGTGCAAATGTTAATGGTATTTCACGTTTGCCTCTACAATTACAAAGCAATTTGCATTTCGAATTAATATCAATTGGTATTTGTAGCTTCTGTGTAGTTGCCACCTACTGCTTCTCCATAGAGAAGCATCAACAACGTACTGACAAAATTCAGTGATTTACACTGAACGTTTTGTAGGTTTCAATACAAGCACTACGACACAAAGAAAAGTAGTGATATTTTTGTGTGCGGTACTGGTTAAGTGTTCGAGTATATTATTCTGAAATATTAAATAATATTTCACGATATTGTACTCGAATATTAAATGACATTTCATGATAATATATTTAAATAATTAAATAACAAAAATTGCCACGGAAATTAGGCAAACTAACCTAAAAATGATCGTAATAATTTACAATCATATTAAATTTTCTCAAGTTTAATATGGTTGCAACTAAAAAATGTAATTAGTACAGAAATGTATTATATTCTCATAGCTTTATGAAATTTTGTATCAATATAGGTTATGAGTAAAAGGGATTATATCATAATTAAATTATCCCGCACACATAACTGAAAATTTTGCGTTAATCAAGTTATTAGCAATATGGTTATTATATAGAGTCTGCAGTTTATTGATGGTTAAATTAATTATGTATTTGCGGTTGTGTTTCACCGCAACATTTAGAATTATGAATAGTACATTACAATTATATTATAATAATAGTATATTCCGTATACAGTACGTCCCCCAAGGAAAAAAATGTTAGGTAAGCTTTTCTAAACGCCTAAATTGAAATACGGTACACAGTAGGTCCCCTCGCACAGGGAAATTAGATACGCCTTTCCAGCTACCGTATAAGTTTAAGCCGTATTTATTACATCCACTAGGGGATGAATTAGGTAAGTTTTTGTAAGAAATGTTCATAAGAAAGCGTTTCTAATTCGTCGCGTCGAAAAGTGTGCAGTCGATGCCCTAAGATATCTGACCCCCAGCCAAACTTTTGGTTCTGAAAGCCTGAAAAGTGTAAAGGATTGCAATTTTTCGGTTGAAATATGTATTCATGTAATGTTATTAAAGATCAATTGGCTTAATAAATTTCATAAAACGTCATTCTCTAATAATGCAATAAGGAAGTCATACCAAAATGTATTTTACTTTACTAGTCACTGGTTAAAGGTTAAGTTTGTTTAACAATGATCTTCTCAAAACCAGGTATCTTAGGGCATGGTCGGCACCTAACTCATCTCTCTTCGAGGAACGTGTTGCTATACTTAAAGCCGTATACGCCGGCTAACCATACTTCACTAAAGCTACTATGTTACTTCGCAGTGTACGACGCGTCTGGCCAGTACACAGCGAACGTACTGTTCGGCAGCGAGTACTGGTTAGGTTCGCTGAATGCCTGTCTCGACCTGCAGCTCAAGCAGTACTATGCGCACACACCGCCCTTCCCCGCCACCTTTTACATAGCCAAGATTAATCTTACGCTCGACACTGATCATCTGCCTCAAGTAAGTATTTTTCAATTATTTTATGTTACTATTTTGGATCAGTGACTTAAACTGGCATCTTAAGTTTAAATTTTCGAAGCTCTATACAAAACATATTTTAGTTTCGACGCGGTGAGACTGAATCTTGAGACTTGAACCCTTAAATTATTATTTATTTTTGATATACACAAATAAATCTACCTTCTATGAAATATGTACACGAATCTAGAGACAAAAGGCTTGGGGATAAAAAGGTACTTTTACTTACAATTAATTAGAACCAAATCCACATTTGATAAATTAAATCCTGAAATTTCATCTACTTTTGAGCTTCTGAATGTATGATTAATTTTAGGAGGTAAGTACAAGGATGGCAAACATTATAAAAGTGTAATAATATGTAAGTACTTACTTACCTAGGTAACGGACAGGGTATATCAAAATTACGAATTTTATTAACGGCTACAAGCTGTCATATCATATAGATTTCACGCTTTAATTAATAGCACTTCCTACATTAAAATCGAAACTTGCGCGACCCTAGCATCGGATCAACATAAGGCTCAACTCACACTGGCGCAGAGTCGTAGCGTCGCGTCGAGTCGCATTCTATTTTTCAACTACAACGCCTGGCGACACGCGTCGACGCTCGCTTTAATGCGCCCGGATCACAGTGTGTTCGGCGTCTGAAACCTCACTGCGCTCTAGTAACGAAGCCGCTCGACACGCGACTCCGTATTTGCGTAACACAAATTTGTACCTTAATAAGGGAAAATAGAGCTGAATATGGTGTGGCGGGTGTGGCAGTGACTGAACCTACGCTTCATATCATGCTCGTGTGACAGCATGTCACATGATCCAAGCATTTGTTTTACTCGCTCCCTCGAGTTTTTTCATTTCGTTGTCATCTACTTCGCCTGAACTACCTGAACTTTTTTTTTAATAGTATTCGGTATGTCACGAGGTGAGGTCTGATGGGACATTTTCATGAAACGATGTATTGTGACAAACTAACCAAGCGAGTTGTACAAAAGATGGCTCATATATGAATAGCTCAACACTAGGCTCAAAATAAAAAGTAAAAGGGTCCATCAGAAATTTAAAGTGTGAATGCGATCAAAACAGGTCAACAATTTAAAAATCAAACTAAGTAAATATGACTTTTTGTTATTACAATAATAAAATAGCTAAATAAACACTAGTTAGTTTTATTGTAAAAACTACAATATTAATTTTGACACACACCGGATACCCTTCGAAGTAATCGCCGTACGTGCAGGCTATCTTAGCAACTTGACACGTACTAGGCTCACAGGAGAATGGAAGAAAAGAACAATAAACTCGTAGTGATGAGACACATTAGTTTTGAACGGAAATAAATAAATGTATTTATTTATTTAAATATAAATAAATTAATAACGCACACACTCATAACCACAAGAAAAACCCTGTATCACGGATGCCATGGACACACAAATGGACATTCACAAATTACACCCAAACTCACGAGAGAAATAAATGTAGGCCATACAAATATTTCTCCCGGCCCGGGAATCGAATCCAAGACCTCTGCGTGACAGATCGACATGGTAACCGTTCAGCCGCGGAGGCAGTTCATACATTACAAAAGTTTATACGTTTTAAAAGTTTAACATTGTTTTAATTGTGCTTATTTTAAACCTGAAATTTTCTTATAGATGATCTACATTAGGTACTCAGTTTAATCCATATTATCAAGCAGAGGCCGGCGGCATGGGTTCAAATCCAGAGGTCGCACCTCTGCGTTTTTCGGAATTTATGTGCGAAATTTAATTTGAAATTTATCATGAGCTTTTCGGTGAAGGAAAACGTGATGAAACCTACACGTCGAAAAAGGTTCACAAACCTCGGAGAACGTGTGAAGTCCCAAACTCGCATTGGGCGGTGGACTATGGCTTAAACCCTTGACTAAGAAGAGACCCGTGCACGGCAGTGGGACGTGTTGATGATGAATTCATATTGATGTACCCGTTCCGTTACATAATACTATGTAACCCAATCAATCAAAAGTCAATATGAATATTATGTATTCTGTATAGATACCTGTACAGAATTCAAATATACATATATGTATAATAAAAAAACTCCGCTTTTACTTTCAAAAGCATTTTTTATGTTTAAATGCGGTAATCTTTTACGGGGGTATTATTGTGAGCGGATTTTTGGGCTAAGCTGTATTTATAAAACAAAAACATTTTGTAAACGAGAAATGTTTCGCGGAACACAGTGAGGAGGTACTTACACAATAGGTTTAAAATTCAAATCGTGAGCGTATTTGGTTTCACTATTCCTAATTTCTAGAAAAATAAAATCTAGAGTAATTGTAGAGTAATTTTGTTTAAAAAAAACAAATGAAGGCAAATAAATTATATTGCTTAATATTACTTTACAGAGCAGAGTGATGTTGGTAGGGCAATGTATACCATCGTCGTGCGGATCGGGTAGCCTGGAGGCACTCCTTGCAGCTGCGGAAAGGACTGCAGCTTCCCGTGCTTCGGCCGCGGGCCTCACAGCTTCCATACAAACTGTCTCCATTCGCCCTGTACCCGGGCGCTATGATATATTATCTGATCCCAAATTACATATTCTTGGGTGAGTTGCTTTGTAAATTTAAGATACAGTCATGTTAATAAGCAATTTTTGCACCTTGGTGCTGTGGGAGTGTGACGTATGTTAAATATAAGGAAGAATTGTTACAATTGTATAAGTTACAAACGGGTTGTAATTTACTAAATTATATTTTTTTTATTTGCGTGTTCGATAAAAGTAAATAGTGGTATTTAAGTCGATGCACATTTGATAACATAACACTAGAAAACAAGTTCCTGTCAAGAAAAAAATTAAAAACAATCGTGTATTTTTTCCCTATTGTAGAGGTATATTGTGGATATGTGGAATAATATTTGAAATTTCATTTCATCATTACTCGGAGCGAAACCGCAAATTTATTTGACGTCTCCGAATAAATATGGTATACACATGAATACATAAAATATTTATATACAAAATGTTATTTCTTTTTGTGACTGCTACGGGTGCTGTACACTTCTACATAGAGGTTAACTCATAGCAGAGGTACTGGTATCATTCTCGTAGACATCTTCACTTATCAAGTCATTATAGACAAACGTAAGTAAGTAATTTTGTATTGGACAGTTTAATAAATGTTTTTGTATTTTTTGTATTTGTATTGTAAGCCTATATAAACAAAAATGTTAATCCAGATAAGTACTGTCATCATATACTTACCTATTTCTGCCGCCAAGTAGTAATGTGAGGATTACTGCGTCCAGGTTTTGGAGAGAAATGGTGCTGGTGAAACTTCAGGCTCATGGGACTTGTCAATTTTATGGACGGGGACAGTGGCAGTGTCCTTCAGGTCTTTGCGATTTAAAACTCTGAGCAGTACTGTATCGCTTACTACCAAACACACGACGTTATTTGATATCTTAAAAAGTATTTCTGTCTCGAAACAATTCAAACAATATTAATATTAATGAAGGAAACCATCCCCGTTCTATATTTAAACATCAATTAGTTTTAGGCCCCGTTTAATTATTCATTTTGTGCAATTTATCAGTCAATTTAAAGTACTGGCGCAATCTTGTGTTCTACCACATCAAATAACAACTTCGCGAAATTGAACAAAAGTACTGATTTTGATATTGAAATCAGTGACAGTGATATTTTGTTACCGTTGCGAAGCCTTCCTTTTCTTGTTTCTAAATTCATGGAAATCCTTTAATTTTACTTCCCGGCTGTTCCGTGCCTAAAATGGGCACCCTGCTAAAATTCATAGATTATTAACTAGATTTATTTTGATTATAAATTCATAGACCATAATTTATAACAAAAACCCGTGGATGAATATATTAATATTTTCTACTTCCATTAACTATTATAACTTAACCGAGTGAGCAATTAATAATTCGGGGTGAAATATAATCGCAGTGGGTGGATTCCAACTTATCTCTCATTGTGATCCAAATCGATTCTGTTTAAGGATTCAGTGAATAATTGTTATTTGACGTGGACTTAGATAAGTCCACGGTCGTCGTATAGTACCGATGACAAGCTTACTATCGTGTTGATTTGCCAATCGGTGTAAGCTACTCGCCGATTTTTTTTATGGTACCAAGTACTTGTTAACTTATGTATCTGGGTGACGGGCGCAGTGGTAGTGTCTCTCAGATCTTTGCGATTTAAAGCTCTGAGTGGCACTGCAACGGTTATGAACAGGCGAGTAGTTTACCATCAAGCGCACGAGTTGTTCGTCCCGTCACGTGATATTATAAAAAAAAGTGACGGGACGAACTACTCATGCGGCTGGTGGTAAGGGACACGTTTGCCTACAACAATTGCAGCGCCACTCAGAGCTTAAATCGCAAAGACCTGAGCTGGGCACTGCCACTACACCCGTCACCCTCAGACTTAAGTTATCCACCCCCACACCAGCACCCATTTCCTTCAAAACCGGAACGTTGTAATGCTCACATTATACTGGTTGGCGGCAGAAATAGGTAAGGTGGTAATTCCCTGGAAGAACTCTTTCACAAGGAGCTATACTGCTAATCATTATTGCCCAGGGTGCGACAGACGTACAAAAAAGGAATGATAAGTTGTACGTAGAGGCTCCATTCGTACACCTCTGTGGTGACCGTAAATTATTTTACAAAAACCCAACTTGTTTTAACAGTTTGAAAATATTTTCATAATAGAAAATACACACTTCGTATATCAAATTCAACCGCCATCGCCAGTTTTATAAAATTAATATTCGTACCTTCAGTGCTGTGCTCATAAGACGATAAGAAAATAGACTTACCTTTTAGGACCAACAACGGCACGCTCCGGAATAAAAACAACCCGAACATTGCTATAGCCTTGGGTAATGGAGCCGTTAGAACGTTGATGTATGCCAAGAAGTCATAACGTGTTTAGGTTAAGAAAACGATATGAGCACAATCTATATTTATGGTAGCAGTAGAGCTTCTTGCGAAGAATTTCGTTCAGGGAAGTATTGTCACCTTACCTATTTCTGCCATCATGCAAAAATAATGTGAGCATTACAGCGGTCCGGTTTAAGAGGGTGCTGGTGAAATTATAGGCAGACGAGACTTGTTAACTTATGTCTCAGGGTGGTGGGCGCAATGGCAGTGCCCGTGAGATCTTTGCGATTTAAAGCTCTTAGCGGCACTACAACTGTTGTGGACTTACCAGCAGGCGCACGACTTGTTCGTCCCGTCACTTGTGGTATCATAAAAAACCGTTACTATAGTAGTTAATAGAGCGGTGGTAGATCAGTGAGAAAATCGTTTCTTCTCAATTGTGAGGTTGATGGTTCGATTTCCTAAGGCAGCATGTGCTTTAATTACTAAGTTGTATGTATTAGACAACGATATCACATTATACACATATTTGTGATAGTTTAGTAATAATACTGCAATAATGAACGGAAACTGCACTTCGAAGAAGGTTCAAAACCTTTGGAAAACGTGTGAAGACCTGAACCCGTATTAGGCCAGTGTGAAAGACTTTATAACCTAAACCAGAAAAAACAAGAAGTTCCAAAGGGGGTCATAAATAAAAAAAATGCTAGAAAAATCTTTTGGACTATTTTAAATTATTTTTATTTGCGTAGTGTTATGTTATTTTGTGTGTATGTTAACATACATGTGTTATTTGTGTACCAATGTCTACGAGGCAGTCAAAATATATTTCCGAGAGCCGTACACTCTTACTTTAAAAGAGATGTTAGCGCGCCCGATTAAAGCCCTTCACAGGCCGTGGCCGTAGACGTGGCAGGGTTGACGATGGTGATGATAAAATACCAGTTATTGAAATGTAATGATAATTTTGTGTTATCACAAGGTCGGCTGTACTGCTCGTGTCAATTTTGATGATAGCAGCCTCTATCTATGAAGGATATTTGGAGCGTCGCTGCCGCCTGAGCTCGGCATCGAGAGACCTCGAGCTGGCGCACCATGACGACCAGAAATCTGTTGGTACTTTCGTTCATTTGCCTCATCGTCTTCATGTATTTACTTTCATCGCAACCATTATTATCGTACTTTTATAATCCACAGCTTTACAATATTCATCATCTATGTGCATGTATATTTATTCATCATTTGCTTATGAAAGAAGCTTAAGTCCGAAACAAACGCGAAGTATATGCGAAACCTTTTAAATAATACTGCGTAACGCGTGTAAATGATTTATTTAAGCATGTAAATAATTTAATATGCTTTTACTGAACAAAAAGATAAGTAGGTACCTACCTAAGTATTGTACTTATTTCAAATTAATCCTTTAAGATGTCTTTAAGAAACAAACATTTTATTAATTAATGTTGATAATATCTTCGCAATTTAATTACTCCACAGCTGTTCTTTAACGTCAAGACTTTTGGTAAACTCTTTCAAGCTCCAAAGTTTACTTTAGGCCTTAGGGCGCTTTCAAATTAGAGGTTTGTAGAAGCGCTGCAGCAGCGCGGCTGCCTCGCGTCAGTACCGCTTCAGTAATTTTTAGTTCATTACATTGACACGACTGTGGCGCTGCAACTGGGCTTCCAAACATTGTATAAAAATTAGAAGTGGCGAGACAGCAGCTCCACAGTGGCGCCACTACAGCGCTTCTTTAAGCTTCTAATTTGAAGGCGCCCTTAAAATTGAAATATGTTTTATACAATAAAAGTCCTTTTCAAATTATAATAAGTTGCCAGCGTTTGTTCGCATTGTAGACCAATAGTTACTGCACTGCACCCTATTGAAATACTTCAGACACTTCGGCCGAATAGAATATCTAATTTGGTACCTTAGAAAGTTAAGATTGAAAGAACTTACAGGATAAGCAATAACGTGTCAATCAACGTGATCATAGTTTTGTGAAAATGGCTCCTAACGATTTTTTCGTTGTTTTTGATAGTTTGTTCTAAAATTGACTTGTAAAATGAAAACATTTGCTGATGTTACCTCAGGAATGATTAATTGTGATTTATTACTGTAATTCCCCAAGAACAAAAAGCACAACAGCAAAAGTTTTCATTTTTAAGGTAAAGAACAAACTATTAAAAACAACGAAAAAATCTTTAAGTGCCTATTTAGGTGATAAGTAGCCGGCATCTATTATTTTGATATTTATGTAGGGCTTTCTCTGGGTACTTTTAAGACAACTTGTTTGATAACTTTGCAAATTAATCAAAATCTATAATTTTTATTATTTCATTGTCACTAACCTATAAACAAAAACTGCTTACCGCTTAACGTTTTTCATTAAAAATTGATAACATTTAACCATCGTCTATATCATGTTTTCAGTAAGACCAAAGCGACTGCAAGGTTTTTGGAAAAATAATTTTCATTTTGTTATTGTTGTTGGTACAAAGATTGAACGAACATAAAAAATATCCTTCGAGCCCAGTCGGACGACTGGCCTCAAACCAGTGTTGCCTTATCGTGGCTACCTTTGAGGTAACAGACACAGAGGCTTTTCTTTGTGTTTCTTCGATCATTGTATCAGCAATAATAACAAATAAGAGTTGTTAAACACGGCGACTTTTAGGCCACACTTGCGATTTATAGGCGATTGCATCGATGCAAGCGCGCAACTGCATCTATACAATAGACGATTAGCCTGGTGCAACCGTGTGTTACACACGGCTAATCGTGTACCTTTAACACGTGCGCGATGCAAACTTCTGCAAACGCGATGCAGTCGCTAATCGTCTACCTTTACACACACGCGCGATTTTAAGTAGCGATGCAAACTCCCTGCAAGCTCGCGACTGCATTGACACAAACGCGCGATTGCATCGCTACACTTGTATTGTAATCGCGCGTTTGTATCGATGCAGTCGCGCGTTTGTATAGATGCAATCGCCTATAAATCGCAAGTGTAGCGATGCTATCGTGCGTTTCATGAACGCGCGTTTGTATCGCTGCTAAAGGTCACCGTGTGTAACCACTCTTAGAGGAGTATTTTTAAACGACATCGGGTCTAGTGGGACATACAATAGGCAGTCACACTTTTGCACTTGTTCGTACATAGGACATCGCCAGACACGTTGCACCGCGACCTTACTCACATCCCATTACATTACTAATCACACGGATGCACCATTGATTACATCCATTGTTTGTTGCGGTCATTAACTTGTCGATGTACCAATATTTGCAGCACAATAACAATGTGCCCGAAGTCGATGGGAAGGCGTCCCATAAAGACAAAGACCTGCGTCGGGAGACCCGCGGTAAGTGACTACATGTACTTCACGTCTGCAAGGATTGCATAGTTTTTTCATGGTTGTTTCAGAACCCATTCAGGTTATACTTTGAATTCGACGATCAACTATATAATATACATACTGACTTCTATTTATTATATATCTACAATCCTCAATTATTTGTATTTTCTTTAGTTCTTTATAATGTATAAATGAACAATGATTTCGAGTCACTCCCAAAAGTTTATTGTTAAATAAAGTTATTATATGTGTGTATACATATATAAATTCTTTAAGGCTAAAACAGACCGATACAGTGACCGTGTATACGAGCACGGACTGTTTCGAGCTATTTTCAAACCTCAGCTATTTTTAACCGACTTCAAAAAAATTGGTCCCATTTCATTTTGAAGAAAATCATCCACCTCTAAGGGTGGCTGTTCACTCATGAAGATTATTTTTTATAAATAGAGCCTAAATTTTATAATAAGGAGCAATTATTTTAATGGTTGATTTTACTATTCTCCAATTCAAGGCGTTTTTCTCTTAATATACTTTGAGTAGTGAGAACTGATTTTTATTATCTCCTGTGTCAAGTTCCGTATAGTGGCGCACTAGGTGACGAATCCGGGTTTGCGCCCTTTCCGGTAACCGGTAAAGAATAAAACTTGGCAAATAGATGTAATTCCACGTAACTTTTGAGGTCAGTTTTTTTAGTACTCTGTACTGAGATTATCGAACCTGTGTTTCTTAAAATCTATTTGACATATACCTCTTACGAACGTAAGAGGTATATGTCTTTTGACGCTCTCAAAGTCATTTCTAAAAAAGTTCAATAGTTCTCGAGGTATAATAGTCTAAATATATTCGAATTCTAAATTCAGACAATTTCAAATTTAGCATAAAGTTAGAAAATAGCTAAATGAGTCGAATTTGAAGACTAACATTTACAACACCATATTTAGTTCTGCGAAAGAATCGACGCAACTGCAATCTGCGACGCAATATTTTTGATACCCATATTGCAACAAATTGCAGAAACGGTCTTAATAATATTAATTTCAGGATCTTATTCTATCTTTTATTACAAATTGTTTTAAGTGTCAAGGTATTTTTTTAGCTTTACGTATTTCATGAATCAAAGAAATGTTTATTTTTAAGTTGCTTTATTTTGGTATTCCATAATTTTGAAATACATTGCTCATGACTGTGTTAATGTATAACTAACTGCAAAATACCTAGCAACAGTAAATGACCAAGGTAACCTTTACTTCGACCTGCAGGAGCTACCTCAAAACAATTTACTTAGGGCAAGCGCTTTCACTCAGGCTCATAATAAATTCTAACTTATTTGCATACAAGTATCCAGTTCTTACCCATTTTACCTTGTTCAATGCTTGGAAACACCGACGTTTCCCAAGGTTAACAAATAAATGTAAAATTTTCCACCAGGTATGTGGTCAGAGATGCTGTTATCGTTCTCGTTTCTTTCAAACGGTCGAACAATTTTAAGCACTGACCGACCTAGTGACGGCGCGCTCACTTGCCTGCATGGGATAAGGTATTTATTTTTGCATTGGGTTCACTGTACACAATCAGCATACAAATAAAATAGCACAGTAATACATTGTCACCATTGTCTGCCAGGTTTCTCTCAGTGATTTGGGTGATCATGGTGCACACGTACCTGACCGTGTTCTTCGTTGCGGACAACAAAACTATGAGGGTGGTCACTGAGCGATACTTCCTGTACCAGTCCGTCGGCAACGCGTCTTACTGTGTTGATAGTTTCTTCTTCATTAGGTGGGAACCCTTATATTTTGCGTCCTATAATTTGTCTTTGTGTTTTGTGAAGCGTTTCTGTACCTAATTGCTTGGGTGCTACATAAGAGTGGTATTAATAAAACTATTATTTCCAGCGGCTTGCTTGTGACAGTCCTTTTCCTTAGAACGGAGGACAAAAAAAAGACAAACAAAAACAATAAAACACCCCCGACTGATAAGCAGGACATAAACAAAAACATCAACGGTTACACAAATTCCGCTCTTTCGGTGTCCGTGATAAGTCAGCAGTCGTTTTGCGAGGATTTGATTGACAAGCCCCGACCGAAAATCTACAGCATGGGAGAATTCTTTGCCATGATTAAATCACTTAGCGTTTTGTTTCTGTACCGAGTGGTGAGATTAACCCCTGCATATGCTTTCGTCATCGGTCTGAATGAAGTCGCGTTGAGATATACACATTATCACTCGGTGTTCGATTCTGCGGTAGCGGATCACGTCACCTGCGACCTCTACTGGTGGCGCAATTTGCTCTACATCAACAATTTATATTCTCAGCAAGAGATGTGCATGGTGTGGTCATGGTATATGGCTAACGACACCCAATTTTATTTCATCGGTATATTACTCCTACTGATTTCTGTGAAGTAAGTGTGAAGCCAGGTATCGTTATTTACTTTTTCGATATTTGGAATTTACTTACTATATTAAATTATTTCAACAGGCATCCTAAGTCTTCATGGGTTTTGCTCGGCCTTATAATGGTCAGTTCTTGGGTGACCACTATCTATATCTCAGTATGGCATCAATATAAGGCCCGGATTCAAGAACCATTCGAGATGTTTGATCCGCTTTACGACAAGCCATGGTCAAGAATCGGGCCGTATTTAGTAGGTAAGATAGAATTTTATGGATGCTTCGTATTGGGAGGTTTTAGTTTCTATCCTTTTTAACTACGATCGATTCAGTGCCGGTAACCCTTGTCAGAAATATGTCGGTTTTCTTGTTAAACCTTTTTACAGTATAGCATCAACAACCCTTTGTAGGTAATGCGTCCGTTTCAAAAGTTACTCCAGGGCGGGTCGATGAGCAATTCAATAACTTATTGTGATTCACCGCTCACGTGAGGTGAATGTTAGTTTGCTTAATTACACGCGGTTTAATTATGATGCTATTGCTGTGTTTTCATCACCAGCATCATAAAGTAATAGAAGTAAAGTCAATAATGTATAGAAAGTAGTCAAGTGGAACACTTTGAAATTGAAGCATTAACATTAAGCATAATGAACAATCTACATTTTTTCGTGTTATATAGGAATGATAATCGGTTGGTACCTGCACAAAACGAAGTGCCAAATACGGATGCCGTATTGGCTGGTGGCGGCAGGGTGGGTTTGCTCACTGGCTATCTTCGGTAGCCTGATCTTCGGGATGGTGGACGGCTACTTCGAAGTCTGGCCTACTGCATTCTACGTTAGCATGGGACATACAGGTAATTTATCCTAACTAATATTATAAATGCGAAAATAACTTTGTCTGTTCCATTTTCACGCCTAAACCGCTGAACCAATTTTGGACGTACATTTGGTATACAGATAGTTTGGACGTAGACTTGGTATAGAGATAGGAGGACATAGGCTATTATTTGTCTCAAAAATAAATGTTAAAGGGGGTAAAATAGGGGAAAATTTGTACGGAGAACTAATAATACTCTGAAAATAAGGTAGTAGGCTGGCTACCTGGGTTCGAACCTTTGAGTTTTTCGAAATTTACATGCAAAATTTAATTTGAAATTTACCACGAGCTTTTCGATGAAGGAAAACATCGTGAGGACACTCTGCACACATCTGCAAAGCAAGTCCAAGGGGTTTACTTCCATTCTCCTGCTGCCAAATAAGTAATACTCGACCAAACGAAAAGACAATGTAAATTATGAAGCATCATTCGCATCAGGCGTCTTTTAATAATATGGTCGTGTATTACTTATTTGACAGTAATTGTTTCGGTCGGACGGAGAATGGGAGTAGGTAGACCCCGTGAAGTGGAACTATATATAGGCTAACTATTACTACGTAAATTGTTTCAATATAATAATATAAATTTTGTATTAATTATTATATTCCTTAAAATAGAAGGTTCGGGCGACTTGAAACCTATGACGTAGGTATGCAATAAATAATAAAACCAGGCAGGTAAAGGCATAATAACGTGCTCAAGTCTTTAATGACACTGTTCGTAAAATGTATATAATTGTGTTACATTAACTAGTCCTTTATATTTTGAGAACGAGGTTGTCTAAAGTTCGTGTGTTACGTCATCTTATAATATCTCTTCTTGGCAGTTATACACTGAATATCTAAATAGTTCGAACATTTTGTGAATGGAGATAATCAAAAATGGAAATGCGCTCATCATCATAACGACACGACAACAACTTGCGATAGTATGCAAGAGAACTGCCTCCCTGAAACGTTGCGTGCAGGAGAATTCCAACACACCCTCGTGACTTTGATTTCGGAATACCCTGTTAGCGAAGTGATTCCGTCATTGGTGGATTTCGGCCACAGGCTCTTATTATATAATATAATTTATGACAACTTCTACATTACCTATAAGTTATAGTAACTATATGATATGGGCAATGTCTGAAATAATAGTTTTGAGCGATGGTAAATATTTGAAATTACTCTAAATGGACGGACGATCTGAGAAAGGTGGCCAGCAGTGGTTAGATGCGGGCGGCACAGGACCGGGAGAGTTAGTGTGGTCAGGGGGAGGCTTATGTCGAGCAGTGGATGCATGTAAGCTGATGATGATGACAATTAGGTTTTTGTATAGTTATTTTTCAAAGCGAAACGAGCGAAGCTTTCTTAGCTGTCACATAAATCTACCAATGAAATCACTCGGCCGTTCTTCAACCGACATCAAAGTCTAAAATCAAGGAATCATTTATTCCATACGTAAAATAAATTTACACTTCAAAACTTTACATTTAATTAAGTTAATGCTCGTTCACTACGCTGACTTCCCTGAGAAGAACGAGCAAGAAACTGTAGGGATTGCTCTTTTCAAATAAACTTTAATGCTATGGAATACACTTGAATCAAATTTGTGTGGATTCTGGAGCAATGTTGTCTTTCTATACATCTTTATCTAACACGTTGTCTTTAATTTTATAATATGACTTTTCAATCAATATATTTTTAATGTAGTTTTTAAATTTAGGAAATGATAATCTTAATATATACTTAATATATATTCCAAAAACGTATACAGTTCCCCATAAAAGAGTCGTTTACCTTGGTTAAACGAAATCGTGGTACCATGAGTTTAGATTTAGGTCTAAGGCTAATATTATGGATATCATCTTTCTGATTCAAATTATTTATATTTTTACGGGCATATAAAATACTTGTGTAAATGTGCTGTGATGCCACAGTCATGATACCACTCTCCTTAAACTTTTCTCTGAGAGAACCCCGAGAACCTAAACGGTACACAGAACGAATCGCTCGTTTTTGCAATACAAATATGGTTTGAATATCTGCTGCTTTACCCCACATGAGAATCCCGTAGGACATTATACTATGGAAGCAACTAAAGTAAACTAGTCTAGCAGTACTAACATCGATAAGCTCACGTATTCTGCGGACTGCGTATGCAGCGGAGCTTAATCTGCTGGCCAGGGAAGATATATGTGGAAACCATTGAAGTTTACTAACTATGGTCACTCCCAAGACGACTGCTTTATTAACAAGGCCTAACTTTTCTCCGTTTATTTCTATGCTTGTTCTCCGTTTATTTCTATGCTTGTTATCCGTTTATTTCTATGCTTGGACTAGTCGATTTTACGTTAGGTATTTCAAATTTAAGACATTTTGTCTTCTTGGCATATATGATATGGTGAGACCGATGTGACATGTGATTATTGATGTCACAGTCTCAGGGAAAAATTCAATTATAACATATTTCTCCCGCAAATGTTCAGACCAATAAGAAAAGTACGAAAGGCTACTACGTTTCGACAAAGAAACGCTATTCCACTGAATTCTTACGGGAAAAACAAAGAGATGTACGTAACTCATGCATCCGTGTTTAACGAACATCTTTGCTACATATAAATTTTTGTACAGTGTTGCCAGATATTAAAATTCTAAACTGACGACATCGTTTATATGTTCCAATTTAAAAGGATGTGACACACATCTACATATCCCCCTGAGGCCCCGTGTGTGCATAATATGTGAAGAGATACAGAACCAGATAATATTGTACCTAACACATACGCCCAGTATACATTATAATGAAAATATCACATTCAAATTTAGCGTTAAATTATATGTGACTATAAGGTATCTAGAAAAATACGTTTTTTATATAAAACTGAAAGCATACGTGCTCGAAGCAAGTGTAGTACACTTTAATATACATCGGGCGTTTAGCGCTTTCCCCATGGATTTACTTATAATCAAGGACAAAAATTATATGTTTACATTTTATTATCAGTTAACCCTTGAACTAAGTGTTTTTTTCACGATCCTGTAAATATGACAGCCTTATAAATAACCTCTTAAACTTTGCAGGCTGGGGTGTGGCACTAGCATGGGTGACAGTTGCGTGCTGCTGTGGCTACGGCGGATTGGTGAATTCGGCGCTGTCGTACCGGGGGCTGTTGCCGCTCAGCAGGCTCACCTACTGTGCCTACCTCGTACACCCTACCATCATGATGTATACCGTCGCACTGCTCGACGGCCCACTACACATGCAGAACTCCATGGTGGTATGTATTACAATAAAAGCAATAGATCAGTAGTCGGTAAATCACGACTCGCGAGACACATGCGGCTCTTTGGTTTCTTTGAGTGTAGCTCTTCCACGAAATTCCGATACCGACGAAGTATACAAGACTAGTGTCGATGGGAGAGTGGGAAGGGGTTAATTTCAGTGAACGTACCTCACTCAAACTGAGGACGTTTTTAGCAAAAGCCATTTTAGGAGTACCTTAATTAAAACTTAATACCAATCTCTGTACTGTTATACTGTGTTGACTAATGAGTTTGCCGACCAGTAGTTTAAATGATTAAAAAAAAAACCCAAAAACCATTTTGCAAAAGAGTTGTATTGGGTTTTTGACCTTTTATGACGTAAAAGGTTACAGACAACATAATTTCCATTGAGATGTTATTTAACCAAACTACGTAAATAAAAGCGTCGCCATGCTAATAGAGTAGACCACGCTAGAGTCAAACGAAGATTAAACTGCAATACCCTCCCTACAAAAATATCCACACTTATTACTGCCAAAAGTGGTGGCAGCCTAGTGAGAAAACGTTAAAAACCAAAAACAAACATCTATAACAAACAGATAGAAAGATTCATAAGGTCTGCTGGTTCGTACCGTGGTTGGCAGAGCATCTGGCACGGATTGCCTGAGGGTGCTGGTCCGAATCCAGCCGGATCGAACGAATTTTTTCAAAAAAAAAACACCGAGCGATCGCTTTATTTCTAAAATTAATGGCGCGTGTGACGATCTCTGGTCTGCGTTTACCACCTGACGACATGTTCTTTCCGTTACTTGGCGTAAAAAAAACGCGCACTGGGCCAGTGTGGCGGATTCAGGGCCAAACCCTCTCCTTAGAAGGCACCCGTAACCAGAAGTAGTATGTATAATGAGTTGGTGATAGTGAGGCTGGCATAAATCTCTTCAAGCAAATGAGAGGTCCAAGTCTGTCTCTTAGGAGCGCTGTGCAGACCTGTCACCTGTGAAACTTTCAAACTATGATAATGTACGAAAAGTATTTGGGACACTGAAAAACCTCATTGCATAATTTTCATCTATAAAATTTGTCTCGGCTCAAGTGATGTGTGTAAATAAAGCGTTGTTATTCCATGGTTACAAAATATATAAAGGAATTCTAGGGATATATTTTATAAATATACTCGCACTTTATACAGTTGCTGCGAACCTCTACCGTTTCCCTTGTAACAGAGCAGTTAAGTACTTTTCGTAGCAGTTTTAAGGCACGGTGTGTCCGGGGGGGGCGCTCTTTGCGTCCCGCAATCCGCGTGCTAAAAATGTATATGAATATAATCTCAGTACGGAGTACTAAAAAAACCGACCTCAAAAGTAGGTACGTGGAATTACGTCTATTTGCTAAGTTTTATTGAAATATCCCCTAGTTCGCCACTATACAGGACTTGACACTGGAGACAATAAAAATAGGTTCTCACTACGAAACTACTCAAAGTATATTGATTATTGAGAGAAAAACGCCTTGAATTGAAGAAATAGTAAAATCAAGCATTCAAGTAATTGCTCCTAAATTAAAGTTAGGCGCTATTTATAAAAATGAATCTTCATGCGTGAACAGCCACCCTTCGAGGTGGATGATTTTCTTCAAAATGAAATGGGACCACTATGGAAGTACCCCGTTTCCAACAAAAAAAAAATTATGAAAATCGGTTCACAAATGCCGGAAATATCGCGTAACATACATACAAAAAAAGAACATACAGTAGAATTGAGAACCTCCTATTTTGAAGTCGGTTAAGAATAAACAAGAACAGGCGAAGAAAATTAGCCACAAATCCTACGTTGACAAGCGCCCGATGACGACGGATGGAGCAGTGGGCGACGTGGCGTGTCGTTAAACCGCTCGACAATTTTCAAATTTTGGGATAAATGTGAATTTAATAGAGCTTCGTAGTACTTTAAGAGAAATATTTCCATATAAAAATTATGTGCAAAGTTAGATATTTTATTCTTAAATAATTCGTTTCAGTAAAGTATTACTCGATCATATAAAATCCTGAAAACAGACTTAATGAAAAGTCTGAAAGTACTCTATTGTGTAACAAATTAGCACATTCTTTAGACGATCTCTCTCTCATCTGAGCGTTGTCCCGGTTGCGTCCTCAGCAGGGTTGCTGCGGAGCCCGGGGTCCGCTTTCCTACTTTTTCTCCTCCACTTTGCACGGTCTTCGGCATCCTTAGTGGTGAGACCATTGGCACGCATATCACCCTTGGCGACGTCAAGCCAGCACTTCTTGGGTCTGCCCCTTCTACCGGGGCCCGGCGGAAGTGGCATAGCCAGACATTTGTTTCCCACGTAGCATGCCGTAAGATGTGGCCGTACCAACGTAGGCGGCTTTCTTGCAGTTTATCTGCAATGTCACGGACATGAAGGCTGCCGCGGATGCGGGAGTTTCTGACACGGTCTTTCCGTGAAACTCCACACATCCAACGCAGCATCTTCATTTCTGTGACACGCAGCTTCTGCTTATGACGCTCAAGTACGGGCCACGTTTCACTGCCATATAAAAGGACAGGTCTAATGATGGATTTATAGACCTGTCCTTTCAGCCTAACCGGCTCTTGGGGTCACAAATTACACCAGTCACCTCACGCCACTTTGCCCAAGCGGCTGCGATTCGGCCTCTGACGTCGCAGTCGATGTCTCCGGACGCGCTAAGTACAGATCCCAAGTATTTAAACTGGCCCGTAGGCTCGACCGCGTCTTCGCCTATGCGTACGGGTAGGGGATCTGTAGCGTTGCAGACCATGTACTCAGTCTTCGCCACATTTAGTCTCAGACCGCCGTTCTCAAGCGACTCCTTCCACACATTCACTCGTTGTACCAGCCTCCCTCTATCCGCATCCGCCAGCGCGATATCGTCAGCGTACATAAGCATCCACGGGGGTTGCTCATGCGTGTCTCGGATAGAGCTTGAGATCTCGTCTAATATCACGCTGAATAGATAGGGACTGAGAACTGAGCCCTGGTGAACTCCGACTGTGACAGAGAAGGGTTTAGTGTCACCAACAGCAGTCCTAGCCATGGAATCGGAATCGCGGTACATGTCTCGGATGATGTCAATATAAGCTTCTGGTACCCCTTTGGATCTCAGTGCCCACCAGATCATTACACGGGGGATACAGTCGAAGGCCTTCGGCATGTCAAGAAACATGAAATGCAGAGGCGTATTCTTCAATCTGTATTTCTCCATGATGACCCTTAGGGCAAAAACAGGATCCATGGTCCCAAGACCAGGCCGAAACCCATATTGACCCTCCGAGACAGCACTCTCCTGTCAGATCCGAGAGTCTATTATACGCTCGAAGAGCTTCATGGTGTGGGACATGACCTTTATGCCCCGATAATCGCCACACTCCTGCACCGATCCCTTCCCTTTGAAGACTGGAGTGATAATACTCAGTCTCCATTGGTTAGGGATTTTACCAGTGAGGAGCACGCGATTAAAGAGGCCGGTAAGGATGCCCACACCACGGGGACCCATTGCCTTCCAGGCCTCGATGGGAACCCCATCGGCTCCGACAGCTTTCCGATTCTTCATGCGACGAAGAGCTAACTGGACTTCCTCAAGCGTTACCGGTCGCACTAGTCCTTGATTCGGAGGGAGGACCGGTGGCTGCACCTCTCTGTGCTGCTGATTCAGCAGCTCGTGGAAATATGAGCGCCATCTCTCCTTCACCGCGTCGACCTCGCATATAAGGTTGCCATGAGGGTCTTTAATGCAGCGACACTTGGAAATATCTTGTGCCGCTAAGACCCTCGAACGTGCCAGCTTAAAGATAAGCTTCTGCCCCTCAGACGATTCCAACTTGTCATACAACGGCTGCAAGTGGTCCCGTCTGGCTCTGGCTACAGCTTTCTTAGCGGCACGTTTGGCATCCCTATATGCGTCGCGGTCTTCAGAAGATTCGGACGCTTGCCACGTTTTGAAGAGAGCTTTCTTCACCCTCACCTGCCTCTGGACTGTGTCGTTCCACCACCAAGTTTCTTTGTCACATTTGCGACCACCCTTGGACAAGCCCAGCACCGCTTTCGCCGGCTCAGATATGGCAGCCTGAATGTTGTCCCAGTGGTTCTGGACTAGATCACCTTCAGTGTCGGCGCATTTATCGCACTCCTTTTTTATCACATTCTTTAGACGATATCCTAAGGCATATCATATATTTTTTTGTAAGACCGTTATTTAATAGTAAATATCTAAACCATTTGATCTAACGAAACAGTTTATTCCGCTTGTCCTACGAACTAGGGGCATACTATATCAAAGTATTCCCGCCTATATAATTTCAGTGCGAACAGAGATTATGCCCCATACCTACCTGTATTTAGATAATATTCATGGATGAACATTTTTCAAGTTTCGCTTTATAACATAAATAATGAAGATATACTTGTATTTTATACAGTACGATACCTTTGGCCTAGCCCTTTTTCTATGTCTTTTGTTACATTTTTGGACCCTTACAACATATAACTTTTTCCTAATTATAACAATGTGTCACAAGGGTGGTAAGTTGGCAAGTACAAACACAGGGATATTCTATTAGGGTTATTTCGGTTCATTTAATAACCCGACTATTTATAATTGCTGTTTTCCACCTGCGTGTCATGCAATGTTTTTCGTTATACTTGAGAGGAAGTTGAATAAAAGGAAAATTAGACATTATATAAAAGGTATTTACAAACTTTTAAGTATCTCTCTTTTAAGTGTACATTTAAGATCATTGTTTCCCTCAAATAATTTTTACATAAAAAAACAAACATTTGAACATTAAAAGTTTATACTTTCTTTACGTATTCAATGAATAAAACGTAAAATCTTTTGAATTTTTTATGTCATGATTTATCAAAATTTTAAAACTGTATTTGTATTTATTTTTGTATAAATTAAATCAAAAAGTCCACTGCAATTTGGGGTCGTTGAGAGAATTTGGCTCGAGGTCTACTTCGAGGCTCCCGCAGAGAAGAGTAGAAATAAACCAAGCGCCCATTACCGCCCTAGGGATATAATATTATTTACGAGCAAGTGTGATAAAAAGTATATTTATGTATCTGTTTTAACTTATTTGCAGTTAACAATCTACGCGGGATACGCGGTGATGGCGTTCTTGGCTTCGTTTGCCATTTCACTCGCGTTCGAGGCGCCCGCCGTCAAGCTAATCAAGGTCATCAGTGGCGGCAGCAACAGCAAAAAGAGACAATAATTTATTGCGTAATTAAGAGAAACGACCTCACAGGGTAAGGGGCATAACCCCTTCCACACAAACTCACAATCAGTACGAACCCCTACCAAATGCTAGTTAACTGTTAACAATTCGCATCTTATGGCAATTAGTACCTCAATTAAGATTCGATACTAGGTGAACTTGTGTCATTGTCGAATGGAGAGCTGCAGGCTGAGGCCGAGCAGCCACTTTGCGCGGTCGATATCGCTGCGAGTAGGTATTTTTGTTCGACAGAAACGGTTGATGTAATGAAAATAGCAAAGTGTATATTATAACCATGTTAGTTTTAACCCAATTGCATAGTACCAACATTACAAATACGGGATAAACGCGATGAAAGAATTTAATAGGCATTTGCACACCTACCTTTTATCCCAGTAATGTTAGTATAATGCAAAACGAAAGTTTAAAAACGTATATATTACCAATTGTGTAGCATAGTGCGAACCTATACGGCCAAAAAATTGTGGTGTCAAAACCTATAAAATAGTTATTTATTGTCACTAATTGGATTTTATGATTCGGAAATTCGGATGTACTTTTCTATAGTAACTTTAGTTGATATCTAAACGTAATTGGGTCAGGTTGGTGGATCGTTACTATTGAGAGGCAATGTGTTTTGGCCATATAAGTGTGTTGCGCACTGTTTTGCTTAGCATATAATAGCGAATTTAGTGATAGGCCTACTTAACCTTCGGATATCATTTAGCCAAATTAAGTTATCGCCACGCCTAAGGTTCTACCATAATGTAAATTACATAACGTCGCCTTACTTTGTCAAACTCGTATATCTTAAAGCACAAACCCCTACAACCCTTCCTGTGCCACCGCTACATGCCCCCTTAAACCTTCAGTACAAGTGGCGGGTCACATTCTAAATCAGTTACTGCTTCGTCGTACTCTATCTTCAGAGTGTCTAGACAGCAAATTATGTATCTAAGTTAGTAATAAACATTGTATAAACTTACTAACTGTAGTGTCAACCAACCAGTGCACTCCCACCAGACGCCTGATATGACGCATGATTCAGAATTTATGACGCCTGAACTGCTGGGCTAATTCCGTACTCTTAGGTATCATAACAGACTAAATTTGTTAATGATGACATTACGAAACTAACTAAATCGCGACTTAATTCGCAACATAAGTAGTCTACTTCAGAAGTACGGAAAGGGGTATCAAAGGGCATAGTTCAACGGGCTATAAATCAGTCTTGCTGCCACTCGGACACACCTCCCCGTATTCACAATCATAGATCGGCTCATACATATAAAGTAGTACGCTAGATATATTGCATTCTTTCTAAGTAAGTGGTTGTTTTATCCACGGTTGGAAATGCTGGGAACTGTTCATATTAATACAACGATAATTGTTTATTCCTCCAAATTCGCACGTAAACATTTACAATAAATCAATTTTCATTCTGATCATATATATAGCTATATATATAGTTCTGATAGATATTAATTGATTGATTCATTCAACACCATAGTTAACGGCATCGTGTAGTTGCGCCTATGCAAGTCGTATATGTATATAAATATTTTCCTATTCACAGTGATGATTTTTTTGCTACAGCAATCAAACGGCCCTCGCTGTTTGTAACAAAGTAACATTCATACTTCTGTTTCCGCTTGTGTATACATTTTTCGTAACTTTTCTTCTATTCGAGAGATGCACTTTTTTCTGTTTTAGCAAGTAAGTAGGACAACTGTTGTAGAAAATGTTCTTGACGTGAATACTCGTAGATACCAATTTTCGCTGGAGTGAAAGAAAAATAATTCATTACCATCTGATATTTCACTCTGTGGCATATAAATCATAGGGCTTAGTTAAGCTTACCAATGACATAAGTTATACTTGATATTAAACCATAATGAAATGAATTGAAATGAAAGTTGTTCAATTAATCTATTAAAACTGAATGTTTATCTTAAGTCTTTCTGTAAAAATGTGATTTTAATTTACTGTTTACAATTTTGTAAAGCTCACTGTTTGCGATATATGATACATGTAGTAATTAACCAATTATCTATTTAACCAACAAGATCCATGACGCAGTTACCAATTATATTATATTAAAAAAGAAGCACTATATGCTAAGATGGTCATAAATATCATTTTATTTAATGTAAGGAAGTGTTCTACGGCAAAGTAATTGTGTGTTTGTAAATATTTAATTAACATACCTTTGTAAATATCTTAGTAGTTTACACAATAATAATAAAACAGGAGGTATATTGTTTCATTATTTTATTAACGTCGGGCAGTATTTAAGGTTTGGTGATATCGATCCGGGACGCTACTGTTGTGGAAAGGAGGGGGCGTCCAAATATAGGTTACTACAGATTGCGTGGTGATGCTTGCATTTGTTGCCCTAGTTCTATTAACGCAGGAAAGTGCTAATTAAATTAAATTTCGGGGGCTATTAAAAAGCGATTTGTACCTACAGACATATCATATGTCCACCATCAGAACGGCTACCTCAAAGAAATGAAACAAAAATAGCTAGCTTACAAAAACAATCTATTTTTTAACCGTTTTCCATTTAATCTCCAATAGTTTTACAAAAAAAAAGGAATGAACCTTGTAAAGATTAAAGGATTAAGCAAGTTCAATTATTCAAGTTCAGTGAGTAATAAAAGGTAGATAAAAGGGTTTAGCTAGCTACGTTAATCTGTGAATAAATAAACGAACCAGTTTAGGGGCAAGCTTGAGAAGTTAGCTGACAATGGTGCACGTACATATACTAAATGATAATCTCTACAATCGCTGCCTATGCAAACTACACTATTACCTGATAATATGTTGCAAATACTGTTACAATATTAAAAATAAGATATCACCTATATTGATTCTAATTGAAATAGTCGCATTGCGGACCAGAAAATGAAATTGTACAGGAAATGGCTGAAAAAAATTGCAAAAAGTGTGACTGTATTCAAAGTTTTATGAAATTTGAATGAAATCCCTAAGACTAGTAAGTTTGATTAATAAAAATTGCGATCTCGTGTAATGCAAATAAAGGAACACAGGGTAAGTATACATAATGAGACGAATGGGACGACGACTTCCGAATTGAATCGGTAGACATTCGGGATTCAAAATAAGTATACGGCTGGCTTTAGTATGAAACTTGCTTATAATTATGCTACTTTTCGTGTACGCCTTTGTACGGTAGTCTCCGTGTCTCGCGGGGAACATTTTCTGATTAAATTTACTAATGCCAGGGTCAAAAGGGTTTAAAGATATAAGTGAAAAATTCTTACGAGATGTTTTTGCAAAATATGTACCGTCCATTTTCGAAAAGCACGAATTAGGCTAGGTTATTTATATTACTGATAACAAACGAAAATACACACATTAGACTATTATTGTTTGGGAACAGAACTTTCAAACTAATATTATTTTCTCTTGTTAATGGGAAAAACATCTAAAAGCGTTGTATACAACTTTAAGAGAAAAGTGTTAAAAATAAAACGGTCTTAGTTGCTGTAAAAAACTGTTTCCGCACACAATATACGAAGCGAATTTCTAGCCAAGGTTCTCCTAATTGCTTACCAGTTTCTGCCAAGAAAAGTACTTCAGCTGTTAATTAAGACATTTTTTTGCTCTTGTTAATGGGGTCGCACGCCGTTTCATTACCCTGGCCCGTGTCCCGATTTCACTGCACAGTGCTAGCTTGAGGCTTTATTGAACCATATTAGCACCATAAATACTTATTTTCATCTTCATTACTTGTACGCTTACAATTCTTGTCTTTTTCCTGTTCAGCAATCAAACACGGAATACAGTAACATCCTGCTGCTGCAAATTACTTCTACAGGTTTTATTTTTACTACTAATGAATTGAAAAAAGGAAGATATAACAGTAACTAGAGCTTCATGTGAAAGAGTTCGTCCAGAAAAGTACTGCCACCTTACCTATTTCTGCCGTCAAGCGGTAATGTGAGCGTTACAGCTGTGTTGCAGTTTTGAAGGGTATAAAGGTCCTGGTGAAATTACAGGCACATGAGACTTTTCAACTAATGTCTCATGGTGATGGGTGCAGCTGCAGTGTCCCTCATATCTTTGCGATTTAAAGCTCTGAGTAGCGCTGCATCTGCTATGGACAGGTGTGTGGTATTAATACCAGGCGCCGACTTGTTCGTCCTGTCAAGTGACAGGACGAACAAGTCGGTTCGTAATAATATAATCTCAGTGCAGAGTACTAAAAAAACCGACCTGCAAAGTTCATTCTCCTCCTCAAGAGTCGGTTAAAAACAATAATGATGTAGAAGAGGAATTCAATATTTCAACGCCGTAGTTAAGACACCAGAAGCGCATGCGCGACCTCAAATACACACAGTATAGATTGCTCGACAATTTATAAATGAATTGATTAATATTCAGAGTCTTTACGATTATTATTCCGTTCTTCCATCATGCATAGAAAATATTATAACAAGAGTTGCAATATCTTAGTCGTTAGTACAGTTTAATTCACAATTGATTTATAAAAATTAGAATGGAGCTAACTTATTAGTTAGTTTAGATTTTTATAAAGTACCTAACGAAATAATATTGGGCTATCAGATCTCTTTAATTAGATATTAATGAACAAGATTACTAAATAAAATTATAGATAATGTCAATGTCCCAAAATTGTATTTCAAGATAGAAGATGTGTGAAACATGAAACGAAACCAATTTTAAACCATTTATTCACCACACAAAATATTAAACGTAAACAATTTAAAATTACTGTGTAGCATGGGAGCAAGCTCTGTACACATTGTGTAGAGCATACGCTCAAACACAGCACTGATTTCCAACTTGACCACGCTGTTGTGGATAACCAGGTATATAAAACATGCGCACAAAAACATAAGCCAAATAAAACTAATGAAATTCACAACAGACATATTTATATATATATAACTGACTATGATATAGACCATATCACTATAATACGTACTAATACCAATACAGATTATTGATGATTTTTTTTCAAATTTATAATGAAATTTAATGTATTTTAAACAAGCTTTTGCTAATAGCTCATAAAAAATGTTAACTTTGGTGAAAAGTTATAATTATCTACTGTACACTTTTACATGGCGTCTCTAGAATTACTTTAATATCCAACTGCAGCTTCACAGGTGAGTAGTTTTTCTTACGATGTAGTAAAACTATTTTCAGAAATCCGGAATTCGAAATGTAATTAATTAATATTTAGTGACTTTAAGCACTCTACGTCAATCCTTGTATCTACATGTAGATATTTATCTACTCAGTTGGAACACCCTATTCCTATTCCGACTAGAGATGGGTCATGGATAAATATCATTGGGATAAATACTTAGTAGAAAGATAAATATGGATAAATATCTATATTTATCCATTTTTACTCGATATTTATCCAAAAACGTGGATAAATATTTTTAATCGTGGTGTATTATTTATATTTAGTAAAACAAAGTATATTTTCAATCTTGATTGTGAACATTGATACAATTTAGTGGCATGTACGTGTAGTATATTGATTGTTTGTTATACCTTTTTTTTCTATATGCAGTGATAAAAATAATCCTTTTACGTACCGTAAATCCCTGTATTTTTGCGTGAACCTTATTATTATTTAAATGCGTAGTTTGTTAAAAATTTGTCTCCACACAATATTAATCAGCTGTCCAACATTTTGTATGGAATTTTTTTTTCAAGTTACTAAGTTGGTCCGTTTTTAAGTCAATGGTTTTTGTACATTTCTTCAGCTTCGTATATAGAATAACCTAAAACATTCGCCTGTAAAGTAACATTCAAGATTCGATTAGGCTGCGATTCCACCAGAGATGTGCGAGGTAGCAAGGCGTGCGTGAGCTTGCCTCTGAGAACCCGCGAGAGCCAGGAGTACCCGTGAGTGCCCGCAAGTGCTTTTGAGTGCCCGCGAATGCCTTTGAGTGCTCGCGAGAGCCAGGTGTGCCTTTGAGTGCCCGCGAG